GGCATGAGCCACCATGCCTGACTATATAGCTTACATTATTAATCTACTTTTCTTTTTTTCTTTTTTCTTTCTTTTTTTTTTTTAGATGAAGTTTCACTCTTGTCACCCAGGCTGGAGTACAATGGCAAAATCTCGGCTCACTACATCCTCCACCTCCCGGGTTCAAGCGATTCTCCTGCCTCAGCCTCCCAAGTTGCTGGGATTACAGGCACGTGCCACCATGCCTGGCTAATTTTTTTTGTATTTTTAGTAGAGACGGGTTTCATTGTGCTAGCCAGGATGGTCTCGATCTCCTGACCTCGTGATCCATCCGCCTCAGCCTCCCAAAGTGCTGGGATTACAGGCATGAGCCACTGTGCCCGGCCTTTCTTTTCTTTTCTTTCTTTTTCTTTTTTTTTTTTCAGTAAAGACGGGGTTTCTCCATGTTGGTCAGGCTGATCTCGAACCCCCAACCTCAGAAGATCTGCCTGCCTTGGTCTCCCAAAGTGCTGTGATTACAGGCATGAGCCACCGCACTCAGCTGCACTGGTGGTTTTCAATTCCAGCATGTCAGAATACCTGGGTACGTTTTAAGACATGTCAGTGCCTGCACTCCATCCCAGCTCAATTAACTCAGACTTTCCAGGGATATTATATTATTTTAAAAGCTTCTCAGGGGATTCTAATGTGTACCACTGGACTTGTTTTAGTTGAGAGTCACTGGATTTCAAACACAAAATCCCCTTAATTACCATCTTCTTTGTTCTGAGTACCTTAGACCTAATTAGTACTACTGTTATTCCACGTTCTTTGTTTATTTTCCAGCTCTTTCTTTTTTGCCGTTTTGTAAATCACTTCCACTCACATGAGAAAAAGAGTTTTCAGTTTGGGTAGATAATTCTGTTTTAGTAAATTCACAAATGTAGTTTGAGTAATTTATTTTTTTTTAAACAGGGCCACTCGGGGGATTGCAGTGGTGCCATCACAACTCACTGCAGCCTTAACCTCCTGGGTGCAAGCTATTCTCTCTCCTCAACCTCCCTAGTAGCTGGGACTACAGGCACATGCCACCACTCCTGGCTAGTTTTTAAATTTTTTGTATAAATAGGGTTTCACTATGTTGTGCAGGCTGGGCTCAAACTCCTGGGCTCAAGTGATCCTCCCACCTTGGCCTCCCGAAGTGTTAGGTTTACAGGTGTCAGCCACTGTGCCTGGCCTAGTTTGGGTAAAATTTTATTTTTCCATATAACTTCTGAAATTTCCATGGCAAATCACTCTTGATAATTTATGTAAACTTATAAAAAAACAGATGATGTTTTTGAATGTACATCAATTATTGTTATTTGAGGGTTTTTTTTTTCTTCTATTTTTAGCAATATTAAACTGAAAAAGAAACCACTTTGAGTATGGCACATCTTCCTTAAAATTCTAAATATTATATTTTAAAAACTTTTAAAATTTGTAACTAAGCTGATTAAAATCAGGGAATCCTTTGTAGGACAGAAATGTCAAACATATTCTAGAGGATTAAGAAAAGCACTAGACCCAAAGTTTTCCATAGTAATACCTGCTGTTCCCCCTGGAGTCGAGAGCATGAATTATGGGCTTTGAGGGATAGGAATCTGTTGTTCCTAGCAGGGTGGGAGGTAAGATAGAAAATTCTTTGTATAGGCCAGGTGTGGTGGCTCATGCCTGTAATCCCAGCACTTTGGGAGGCCAAGACCAGTGGATCACTTGAGGTCAGGAGTTCGAGACCAGCCTCGGCGAACATCAGTGAAACCCCGTCTCTACTAAAAAATATTGCAAAACCGTTAAGTCCGCGCCTTTGTGTTTGCACTGTTGGTCACCTACTTGGGAGGCAGCAGGAGAACTGGCTTGAACCAGGAGGATGGAGGTTACGAGGTGACGCAGGCATCACCACCGCACTGCACTCCAGTTCTGGTGTGGTGGGATAGAGGCAACGATCTCAGTCTAAAAAAAAAAAAAGAAAAAAAAAAAATAAGTCTTCAAGGTCTGAATAAAACCGCCTTCAAATAAAAATCTTACACCGGTCCCATACTTCGGCAAGTTACCTTGGGACAGACCATACCGCAATTGTGGATCAGCTTAACTTTAATCTTTGGCTTTCTCTCTCTCTCACCTCACAGATAGTTACTGTACGCACATTTTCTTAGATACGCCAGAGTCACGGGTTTTTGTGCACGCCGCTGCATCTTCATTGTCTCAAATCCTGGCAGGAACAGATTCTTTCTCTGCTTTATGTATCGAGAGTGCTGGGCTTTTCTTGGGTTTGGCTTTCTGTCAGAATCTTCTCTTTTTTT